AAATTTGGGTAATTTAATATGTTAATGAATTGAATAGGATATAAAAGCATGTACATCTAACTCTGTTATTTATCCTTGATAAAGGGGCATGCCCCGAAACATAGGATAAGAATAAAGGCTTTAAAAAGTTCGTTTTGTGATTTACTTATATATATATATATATATATATATCATAGACGGATTTTCATATTTTTTACTGGGGTGGTGCCAGAAATTTTAGGGGGGTGAGCCGTGAGCAGGTGACTGAAGCAACACAAAGTGTCACCAAACCCCAGTAAGGTCTATATTCTAGGGGTGGAGCACTAGATCCGCGAGGGGGAGTCTAGAGAGCAGAAAACAAAGTATCCCAGAAAAAAGTTTAAAAAAATCATGATTTCTAGCTTCGAAAAAAAGTTTTTTGAAGTTGTCATATCAATGGATTTGGCATGTCCGATTGTCTGTTGAGACTTAAGAGAGTTAAAGTTAAATGAACCTGTAAAAGTGTAAACCCAATAGGCCAATACACAATATGCTTTTACAGTTTACTTTTATAAAATATAAAGTCATTGACATTGTGTTGTTTGAATCCGAGTCCAATTTATGATGCAACTTGAACTACTATGAACAACCATACTGTGGTGTACATAATTGATATTTCAAAACTTTTACTTAAATTGAAAAAACACTATAAAACTTTTATTTAAAAGCTTTTACTTAAAAACTTTTACTTAATTTTACCCAAAAACGTTTACAAGCACAATTGCACTGATGATTGTCTGATTAGACTCATTACGAGTCATAAGTCATTACTCATTAGTCATTGCCAACTGCCACAAGTAACAAACGTAACTGTAGTGTAGCTGTTTCTATTTCGTATTTTCAACTTCAAAGTCTAAGAGTTTTAAAGTTTAAACTTTAATGCGTCTGTCGGACTTCTTGGACCATAAGTCTATTAAATTGTCAATGTCCAACTTCTTGACCAAGTCCTTATTTAAGGTAATACAGAGCAGGTCTCCAAGCCTGGAAGCCGTGATTCTTGATCTGATCTTGTTGCAGACTCTATTCATTGCTGAAAAAGCTCGCTCAACTGAGGCTGTGGAGGTTGCCATGGTGTTCTTTAGCGCTACCAGTTTCATAAGATTTTGGCACCGACTTTCAGAAATAGGAACCCCGAGCAGGAAATCTTCCTTGGCTCTTACCAGCTCCAGTTTGAGATTCGACTGGTTAATTTCTAGGCAGTGAAAATGATCAACAAGATACGTGAGAACCCCTTTATCAAGATAACACTCCTTAGAGGCATCCAGGGCTTCGAAACTCTTCATCACTTCGAAATTCTTGGCATCAAACCTTACGTTGAACTCTTCATCTATCTTTTCTTTCATGTAAGAATTCATCTCACTGATGCTGCTTTCAAGGTTTGAGTCAGATTGCTGTCTTGTTCCATACCTTGTTCTAACAATAGCAAAGCAGTCTAAGTTCACATCCATAGGTATGCCTATTGACTCAAAGAACTTCTCGGTATCTTTTAAAAGCTGGTCAACAGTGATTGCATCCAATGAA